GCCTTCTGTGGGAGAGAACAAACCAACTTCCAGCTGAAGAGGAAATTAGGAGAAGACGATGGAAATGGATAGGACATACATTACGCAAATCGTCAAACTGTATCACGAGGCAAGCCCTAACTTGGAATCCTGAAGGGAAGCGGAAAAGAGGAAGGCCAAAGAACACATTACGTCGGATAATAGAAGCAGATATGAAAAGGATGAATTACAACTGGAAGGAGCTGGAAAGGATTGCCCAGGACAGGGTTGGATGGAGAATGCTGGTGAGCGGCCTATGCTCCTTCACGAGGAGTAACAGGCGTAAGTAAGTAAGTAAGTTTCTAGTTGTGTATAATTCAATCAAAGTCATCACGCGTTTCACTGGTATGATTGAGTTTACTTTTGATTGTCTACATCTAGTGTGCCAAATATATTTAAATGTGTTATTTGCACATTCATATGCTATGCGAATGAAATCACTTGACTGAATTGCTAGTTTCCTTTTAGTCGCGATTCACAATAACCATTCAATGATGGCTGGTTGGCCGTAAGAGCATTTGTAAAAATAACAAAATCCATAAGTTGAATAGAGTCGTGTTTAAAAGTATGTTTGTAAACGGACGTTATATTATTTTGTGGTTAGTTCTATCATCAATCATAAAGTGAAACGTATACACAATAACTGTTCAAATCTGTCTAATTTATACTTCATAGTTTTTCTTGCTCCATTTTATCGACAGTGCTTTGTATGTTAAAAGACTCTATGTGTAAGCCAGTCTGAATGTCATGGTAACATTTAGCTGCGTACTTTTAGAACCTGTTAAATGTCATGTAATTTAATTATCCAATATCTTATAGTTTGATATCCTTGAAGATGAACTCGTTTCCTAAATGTTAAATGAACTAGATCCCTTATCTTGTTGTTGAATACATGAAATGTTCAATAACAGCAGATTGTAAAAATGTTACACAAGAGTTAGGTCAAGTCGAAAAAGTTACAGATTGGAATCGCTTTAGATTAATTACATTCACACGTTGCCTAGTTAATTTATAACTAGTTAACAGTACAAACAATTCTTGTAATTCTTCTACATATTTCTATAAAAGTGGTATAAATTATGAAATATAAAAGATTGGTTTAGCGAAGAGTTCTGTTTTCGGCGAATTTATCTCCAAAGCCTTTAACAATAAAACTATTATTAGTTTCCCTGACTTAGAAGAGATAACGTTTTGATACGTTTGTTTATTGACCTCACTGTTACCATGTTTAACAGAATTTTATTATCACTATTATAGTAATTATTATCATTTTGAAAAAAAGTATATATATTTGCGGTTTTACAGCTTTGAAGATGAATTCGCCGAAAACAGAACTCTTCGCTGAACTAATCTTTCTTATTTTATCTCTCATTGGGTATATTCCGTTTATATAAATTATAGACATATGTTTTACAACAGTGAATACTAATATTTCTACATTATAAAAGCAGCTGAAAGAAATCCATGAAATGAATGAATTCATATTATATAGTATATGGTTTATTTCTCCAGCTTTATGAATTATTCTTGGGATATTATTATTCATCTTAATTAGTAATAATTTTATTCACATATTTTATGTTAGTCTTTAAATGTGTTGGATACAGCTAGGCAAAAGTACTCATAGGTTTAACGTTTATTGGACTTACCTTCTAATCTCAGTGTGGTTAACAGTAACCAAAAAGAGTGATAAGAATTAATCTAATCCGAAAAAAAAACAGAAAAGACGAAAAGTTTAATCGACAAGAATATCTTAAATATTGAAACGAAACAATCAAGCTTATCTGAATACGAAGATTAGTGGTCAAAACAGTTACTGTATACCACGTGCACCGAATAATAGATATGGCTATCAAGCGTTCTAGTCAAAGATGAGAGAAGAAATAAGGTGGTTTCGGTTTGTGAAAACTAAAAGTCTGCAAGCCTTTTATTAGCTCTGGTTAGTTGTGTTTGATAGTAAAGAAATTTCTTTAATAAGCATGAATATGATTTCCTTACTTCTTTAAATGTATACACTAAATTAAGGTCATGAGCATATCGAAACTGTAATGTTTGACCGGGGTTTACAAAAACAACCATGATTCAATCAATAATATAAGGGTTTGCTTGAACTATAATTGATTTGAACCACATATTGACTTTAAAAATTAAGAAGCATTGGACATTCTTTTCGCTTTAGTATGGGACTCTTCAGACACACCGATCTATGATCTCACCGAAGATCGAACCCAGGACCTTTCAGGTCTCCCAGCGAACCCTTGAATTCTACACCACTGGGCCTGAACCTAACTGTTTACACTCCTAATATCAACCACTTTGCTATATGATTGAACTGTGTTTCAGAAAGAAAAATGAAAAAGTCTCACCCAGAACTCTCCATTTTTGCAATTATTTAGTGATCGGTGATGCAAATAATATTGGTGTTTATCGACACTAAAAATATCGTATAAATATCAGACTGTTACTCTTTGAATTGAACTCTATTCACAAGAAAGGAAACAAATATTTCTAATGGCCAAACTTGGGGCAAATTGTTTTTTAAACTTAGACAAGGTGAAATTTATTAGAACTACTTAATTTATCGTTAAATATAAACTTGTATTCAGTATTTCAGTTTATAAATTTATATTATTGAAAATTATTTGTATAAATGTCAGTATCTTTCCAATGGATAAGATAAGAAACCAATATCACATTATTCTCTGTTGGCTTATTTGGTTCGAGTAAAATAGAATATTCGCCGGAAATTTTAATTCTAATCATTATTAATTACTATCAAATAGTCTTTGTAACTAATATCAGGGTGTTCGTACAATGAACTCGGAACGTGTTGTACACTAGAAAAAGGAATCTTTCAGCTCCAATTAAAACCAATGCTCTCTGAAAAAGGGTTATTGTTATAATTCGCATGCCTAACGAAATGATGTATTTTTTATTTAAATTCTGATGAGAACATGAATACAGGTGCTTTCAATAGCCCAGTAATAATTCGGCTCATGTCGTTAGGTACTATGAAATATTATGGACTGCGACTCATGTTTTTTCGCAGAAATTCAACTATAAAATACCCAATTTAACTTATAAGCACCTGTCAATATTCTACCGTAGTTTGTTCCTAAAAGTGAAGTATTGATCTTTAGAAAAGTTTAGGGACTTTGGCAATGCCACTGCTATTTAGACGGGATTTTCACATTTTTGTGATATGAATATTGATTTCCAGTATTCTTGAATGAAATAATATCGTAACTTCAAATAATCTATTCTTTCCCATATTCATCTATGATCCTTTAATCTTAATTACATGTGGATGAATTTCTTGCCTTTATGCACTAAGTTCTATTGAAAAATTTTAGTTTCTGGAGTAAATTATCAGTGCATTGAAAATAAATGCATTTCGGAAGGTCATAATTTGTTTCAATGTAAAAGAATATTTAAGACTAATGTCTAGATCTATTCTTACATAATTTCCTATAGATTAATATACGTCATTTGTTTTTTTTAATAACCATATTGTTCCCTCACTTTATCTTCTTAACAAATACTATTATCTTTTTTCAAGGTTTCTGACAGTTTTCCACTCTTTTTTGGAGATTTTGCATGATATATTGCTTTGCGCCTCAAAAGTATGCCAAATATTTTGTTGCATAGTCTGCACCTCAACATGCGGTTATAGATTCAATACTAGTTCTGCCTCGTGAGTTCATCTAGTGGGCTTCGGTTGATCTTTCATGTACAGGCTCTTTGGTATCTGAATTAGAAGTGGAATTTTTTTTCTTTAGACTTTTGTCATTGTAGGTGTTGGTTATTTATTTATCATCTTTTACGGAGATTTTTAAAAAATGATGTTCATACACATATTTTGTTGATTTAGATAAGTTTTATTGATAGTTTTGTTGCTATTTCTTATCTTATAATATCCCTGCTTATTCATTTCTATATGAATTATTCAAAGTAAAGTTGAACAGTCTATTTTTATTTTTCTTATTATTTCATTTGATACCGGTTTCAGTCGACACTAAACTATTTTGGTGTTACACATCACAATAATAATTTTAAAAACTATTAAAGTTCCTGTAACTGTTCTGTTAATTATAAATATACATTTGACTATTTAAAACTACGTACCTATGAATAGGGAATATGGTATTGTGTTTTGTGAAATATAGGGATAATAACTCTTGTTTATTAAATTATTATAATCAACGTCAATCAAGTTGTGTTTTTTTTTAATTTACTCCAGTTTAACTCATACACCAATTACAAGTTTATGTACTTGGCTTGAAATCAAATCGTTTTTGTTGCCCAATTCGAAACAGGTATAACGGGAACCTGAAACGTACTAGTTGAAAACCAAGTGGTTTAACCATTAACCTAATTCTACCACGCTAATACATATGTGAAATGATTTTAACTGAATAAACTGCTGACAATTTTTCAGATCCATTTCTGCTTTAATTGGAAAGCTAAAGAATACATGACGAGGATGGATGTTTAACAAACTTCACTAAACCAATTAAGATATATTTTGAATATAACCAACTCTTTTCTCGAAGTATAAAGCAGTAGTTTAATGGTTAAGGGATTCACCTCAAAACAAGTATGTTTTAGATTCGAATCCTTCTCCATTTACTTCATTCTGATCAGCCAAGTGCAATCATACTGGCCTTCACATAGACAGTGTCTCAAAATCTAATAAGTATAACTGTTTGTTAAACGAATTGGGTTATAGTGATAACAAAGCACCACAAATACATCACTCAATTTTATTTACTCCTCGATTCGAAATTCGGCAGAGAAATAAATCACCTAAACAAAATTTTGATTGCTAACTATTGTGTACTTTGCTCTGTTGTCTATGATCACCACTTAAGTTTTAGGAGTTGACTCAAAATTTATTGCAAATCCATTACAAATTATAATTTTAAATTATTATTTTATTTTCTTCACCGGGGTTCACTTATTTTTTATTTGAATCTTGTCAGGTGGATGTACTTGGATCCCAGTGTTGATGTTCACAATATGTATGGCTACAAATCTACGAATATTCGTGTATTTATAAAGTTATGTTTGCAAATAAACTATTGATAGCTACGTTAGCCACTCATTGAGTAGAACCAATATCATATTGTATAGTCCATCTCATGATTTTTGATTAAGGTGGATTGATGTACACAATGGGAAACTATGGATCTAAGTTTCATACTAGTTAGTGCTTACCAACAGTAAGTATTTTCAATATTGAGGAAACTGATGCCTCCTATGTAGTTTGATGTTCAGAGCTTTCTTGTCATTTGTCTCCAACTAGTCTGGCACATCAAGTCTTGATAATTACATAAAAAGCAGGTTTAAAGATGACTGATGGATCTCTGCTTGCAACTATTATTGTTCATGAAATGTGAATGCGAATTTATTCACTTAATATTGACAGTATGAAAGTAAACTGATCTTTTGACTACTTTCTAATAAAACTTTATTCAATAGTATTTTTTTCGATTAATTTCACTGCTTACATGATCTGATTTTATTAAAGTCTGATTTCACGAAAGGACAGAACTTATAAAACTTCTGAAAACTGAACGGTATTCTATGGTTATTCTTCACTAGTTGAGGATTTCTCAGGCATATGTATACGTTAGACTTAACTTGCTCTGGACTTATAGCCTTACAATTATGTGAATTAAAGCTCAACCTTCGCTTTATCTATATTATAATGACACTATGATCCAATGAAAATAATGATTACTTGACTGAATTCTTAATTTACTTAAATTATAAGTCTCAGTTACTCATTAAAATGTCTAATTGTTCTTGACCGTGATAAGACGTTTGTTTATTAATCTATGGTTTCTTCACTCATAGTTTGAAACGATAAAATTCACACTGTAGATCGAGTTTTGAAATGAAATAAAATATTAATTGATTTATGTATCTACAATTAGAAACTGTGTTACGAGAACAACTGAACATGGATTGTTATCTCAAAAAACTGCAACTTTTGAAATCCATAAAGAGTGATAGAAAAACTGTCAAAGATGGTTAAAACATAATAGAAAACTATAAAACTCAACAAGAAATATGGTCTCTAATATTTGTATGCCTAAATTTATTTTAAGTGAATGTAATCACATGAACATAAATTATAGAGGTATTTTATTATACGAACTAATTAAAAGCATGTCAATTGTAATTTGATGACTAAAGTTGAATGATTGATATTCATTGTGTCAATGTATTTGGTATAGACTAGTTTAAAATGATTTCAAGGAAAATTCTTAACCGATTCAAGAATAGTTAGCTTAGTCGTGAAAGTAATCAGTTCAATGAAGAAGTATTCTGCCATATAATGGATTAGTGTTAAGTTGAACCCCTGGAGCAGTATATCTAACTCCGGAGTTTTTCCTAAGTGTTCTATGTTTAGACATTGAGTTATTAACCAACTTCTTTCATTAGTTTTCAGTATCGAAAAATTCGCAGTGAAACTTCGTCTTTTTCGTTCAACCAGAGTAGTAGTGAAACAAAAGAAGGTGCAATACGGAAGGTAGAATATTACCAAATGTATACCGTTTTTTATAACATTAATGAACACTCCTAGATTGGCTTGTGACTCTTCTGCCATGAAGTCGAAAAACGTCTAACACGATAATTTTTTTCATCTAATTCCAAATTATCATTCGTTAGGAGCTTTTATACAATAGTAGACAGATTTTTAAATAACTCCCCACATTCATTTTAAAAATCCCCCTTATTACCCCCAAGAGATATTGGTGAGTGGATCAAACTTTCAAGTCTGATTTCCATATAATACTCAAATAAATTTACTACTTGTGGTTTGATTTTGTCAAACTAATTGCACTGTTTAAGTTCATATTATCTACTGCACTATACATAATGTGATTTGTCTGTACTTTAACTCCGAACGGGGAAAAAAGAATCGCTTCTAATTGGTCTATTTAACCAAAATTCATTTATTACGATAAAAACTCATCTTGTATTTCTTCCTATTCTTTTATCATCTGTTTAACGCCCACGATTTGTAAATGAGCACTTTTCTATACAGTTCAGCGTATTATCGACAGCTATTTTCTCCTTATAAAAATGATTCATGATAAGTTTGAATGTCAATATCCTATTTTGGCAATATACACCCTAACCTGGAAACTATTATCTCGGTCGTAGTTGGTTCATATACATATTCATCCTTAATTAAAGTCTTTTTGTCTAATCACTGTCACTTAATGTCGATGAAGTATTGTTTACTTTCGCACCACTTTAAAGAGTTAATCCATTCTATTTAATATATATATCTTCGATCATTTGAAAACATCCATAAGCCAAACAGTAATGATATAATTAGCGTAAATGCAACTGACATTGATTAAGTATTATGCACTGCGTCGTCGTTTAAATCACAGTCTGATCATATGACTGATAACACTATCGGTTTTCTTTAGTCTTGAAAAATGCTTTATTACATATATTTGTCATAATAAACCACTAGAATCCATTAAAAATAAACGTATGAACGGTAGACATTAAAATTGATTTATAAGTAAATTGAATTACAGAAATTCATATTTCACTCCAATCATTTGGATAAAAATCAAGTCTACGTGTCAGACATTGTTATATTTTTAGCTTTGTATACTGTTTTGTTGTTAGTCACTCACATGAATCATGTATACAGTAAACTACCTTAATGTTGGTTTCGTGAAAAATAACATCTGAATTGGTATAGAATTGTTCCTAATTCAGCAATTCCATTTATAAACTGTGAAATCAAATTACCGAAAATACTTATTTACCTAAAATGTCATAGACTCATCGTGATTCTTGACTAATTTCACTCATGCTTTTTCAAGCTATCTTATCTGATTTCTTTTTTTTCTCAAAGTTTTGTGGATTCTTTAAACTTTTAACGTTGAATGGGCAGTTAAATGGCTCGAAAGTATTATCTACCTTTATGTTATTATTATGTTACTTATCTAGTTTACCGGCTAATGAAGACAATTAAAAACTTTCTACACGTCACTTGCAATTAGTTTCATATTTAGTGTGCTTATTAAAATCGATGAATTTTTCTGTAGATCTGGAAAATGTTAGTTGGAACCAGGACAAGACAGTACTAGTTCTATGTCATATACTTTTAGTTTGAGTCCTATTGAAAGAAGTGGACCTTCTATTTGCTCGATGATCGTAACCTATTATTGTAGATGTAATGATCATAGTTTAAAATACGTATGCATTCATTTTGTAACTTCCTCTAAATGTTCAACCTAATGTCGTTCCGTTTATATTCAATTTCATTCGTGGATTTTGACCATATTTCTTATCTTTAATCTGCCACTTTGGTCGAGATCAATACTTCCTTTTTACTACTTTTTGCCTTTTTTCATTTTATTCCCCACCGTGTGTGGTGGAAGGTATGGCTAGTTTAACCGTTACACACCTGTATCAGATGCCACATTGTCTACAGTTGACCTATCACTAATGAGGGTTGTTATTTATTCATTTGACGGAGCATAACCAGTGTTCTCAATACTAACTACAATCATAAATTGTATTTTTAATGGAATAACTTTGGTATTTAATTCTGCTAATTTTATCGATGTTTTCAGTTATATCAATTATTAAGTGAAGTGTGAAAATGATATTTGGGTGTAACTTGATAAACTATTAATAACTACTTATCCACTGCTTTTATTATTTAGCATAACATTTCATTAAGTTTTATTTTAATGGATTTATTCACCATTGTCTATCATGTTTTACATTAATTGGGCATACTTTGTATCTGCTTCGTCAATATGTAATTCTCATTGGAGTCAGTACTTACCTACTATCCGGTACAATTATCAGATGAAATTATCACGTTCTAATAATTTCAAAGTAAAGCTGATATTGCTTAAAATTTAAGATTGTTCATGCGTTAACACTCTCGTTACCGCCCCTATTCTTTTACTTATTACATAACAAACCATAAATTGCGGATTTTTACAAATTTATATTTATTGATTCACAACAGTGTTATTCATTTAAATACCATCCCTCTAATCACCCCACAAGTTATAAATTTGAAAAGAAAATATTGGCTCAGACCTGTCTATCTACTTTTTTTTTTAGCCTTTTATTAACTTCTAATGAGTCATTGCAGTTTAAATATTTGTTGTTTAGAAGAAAATTATTTTCCTTATAAGGTATGAGTCGTTCGTGCTTCCCTCCTTTCTATGTTCATTTTTCACTAGGTCTACTGACTTTGTATTTCTCTTCTAGGTGTTACTCACCTTGGTGTCTATGCTACTTATCTTTTATCATGACCTCAAATACCATGGTGAATTGTTCTACTTCTCCCTTTTTTTCAATATATACACAAATGACTCACCGTCCGATTGATTCAATAAAATTACTTGTCCTAAACACATAGGCATTGTGCGTCTATACTGCTGATTATATGTACTTGAAATAGAAACGGAGCTACTGAACATAGTAACTTACATGGTTAAATTATGTCAAATGTTTCAGTTTGTTTTTCATAAGTAATTATTCACCGAGTGGGTAAAATTCACTAAAATGTATAGTTTCTTTAAGTAATTGATTGCAGTAATTGAAATGAACTTTGTATCAGTTATACTTGTAATTCAAAGGTGTATAATTAAAGAAAGTAAAAACAGTTGAATTATGTCTCAAATATTTTATTCTCTGACGTACTTTCATTTTATTGAATGAAGCAATTGACTTCTCATGTTGAAGGATATTCATCTTGTTAATTTCCTTCTATTCGTCCAATGTGAGCTATGACATTTTGGGTCTATGTATACACTGAGATTAGATCCAAGTTATTAGATAGGGATTGTAAATTGATTGACGAGGTAGTGAATCTTCAACGACTGAAGTAGATGGGACATGCATTACGTAAACCCAGCCCACTGCCTACCTCTACAGGGTATCTTTTATGACTTTAAGTTCGGCTAGTTATCACGTAGTTTATTCGCCAATCGAAATACGACTTATTCACTCTTGTGCTGTACTAAACCAATGACGTTCAACCGGTCTGATCAGCCTAGCGTCCTTATCGGTCCTTCGTTTGCCTAGGCCGTCCAATTGAGTCCAGAACACCAATAACAGCGTCCACTATGCAAATCATTCATTTCAAACATACTTGGTTTACCTACCAATCAAATAGACCTCATCGCACCATAAAATAGGAAATAACGTTTATACGAGATCAGGCCGAAAAGTGGCTGTGAATGTGGGAAACGGTAATCAAATAACTGAGTATAAATTGAGAACAGTAAATCGTATAATAATAATCTATATATCAAAATGAAGCTTATAATAAGGAATATGGATATATGTAATCTAGTTACTGAATAGTTATACAATAGGAATATATACATATATTATATTAGTCCATTAATAGTTCTCGGAAGTTACTCTTAATTTAATCTTCTCTAGGATATAACAATGTAGTCTGGTTTTTGAGTAGGGGTAGAAATCAAGAAGTGGATAAGCCAAGATGTGGTATCATTTCATAAAGTTATTGCCTGATGAACTGAGTCATGTAGTTGGTGTAGTCTATTTGGTTGGGGTCCGTGTGATTGTCGTAACCAGTGGTTGGAGATATTGAATGACATGTCTCAAAACTGTTCCTAGTGGTATAGATACATTTACTCGTTGTCTTTCTTTATATTTTTAGTCATGAAATATAATTATACTTTCTTTGTGTATTTAATCTCTTTTAATACCACTAATACAGTTACTACTTCTACTACTATATGATTTGTTATGATAATGTTTCAACCCAAACC